GAAGAGTACAGGACAAGCTGAGGTCAGGAATACAGAGTGTATGTAAATGGTAGGTAAGCCAAAATGTCAAGGGTTATTTAATTGGGGGGAGTGGGGTGACTAGAGACTTGGGGACACTTAACCATCCCGGGCAGGTTACTTGGCCAATATGTCAGGGGGTGGACAATGATATATCCACTGTTACTAAGCCTGTGGGTGGGGGCTTTATTAAATAAAAACGTAGGGGGACATCCTAGTGTCCCTCTGAGCCAGCAATCATGAGTGGTGGGTGGGGGGCATTAATTAAATAAACAGGGGGTAACTTAGTGTCCCCTAGTGCCATTTATATCAAATGACTGTTGTGAAAATCAACTGTCTGATGTAAAAAGTAACATTAGTATTGTGTCAACCTTTCACCAACAGTAAAGATCCTGGGCTAAAGATTCCCCAGTAATGTCCCAATAATTAATTAGCAAAGAAGAGGTGCAGGTTATTTTCACAGCAATCAACAAAACCTCAGTGTCAATCATTTTAACAATAGAGTAATGTTTTCCTTTCTAAATGTTATGAACCTTAACGCACTTTCAAACAGTGCATATCATTAAACACAGCAGAGGGCTATAGTTAACCAGGAAAGGTTTCAGAGCAGGCTCAGCATCTCACCAGTTGGGGGATTCACACCAAGCTAAAAACCCAGTTTTCCTTTGTGACTTTGTACCAGACGATCCACTTGAGGCATCAAGTCCCAGATCTGGACATTTCCTGGACCAATTTCTGGACCATTTGACATTTTGCAATTGCTTCGTGCATTATAACGTATAGACATAAGACCAAGAGTCACCTACCATTTATATTATAGACGTAATAATAACAGAAAAAGAATAGAAAATGGAGACTCCTCCATTGACAGGCAGAAACACATGTTGTCATGACCTCAGCGTATTGTCATCCGATACCCAGTTTTGTTAACCTTTTCTATCCAGTTCAGATGGTTTTCTGTTTAGTCAGATTGATGGGGCATCATTTTGCCGTGAGCTGTGCATATCAGATGCTTGCACCTGTTAACAGAAAATGCAAGCACATGCTGGTACAGATGAAGACTGAAACTAAGCCCCTCTGTGGTGAACAGTCATGCCCTCTCTTTTTGTTGTACGCTGGTGGTCCCCAGGAGGATTTCAATATGACACCGTCACTTTTCCCCTACTAAGTAAAAGGGCTGTGAAATAACTGGCATTTTAGGTGCCGTGGGCATCAACATGGATCATGCGCCAAACATTTTAATTCTAGTTGGCTAAGCATGATGGTAATTCAGCCTGCAACTGCGGTAATGTTGCCTCCTCTGCTTATATTGCTACAAAATTCCAGTCTATATTAATACAGAGTATCTGCTTTCTAAATAATGGCAGAGCTCCACAGCTTAGGAATGTCATAATGCAGTTACTGCCAGCAGGTGGCGCAGTAAAACAGTGCAGACACTTCCTTTATTGAATCTTTGCTATGTTACAATTGTGCAATGCCAATCAAATTTCCACAGGCAAGGCTCATCATGTTACCCTCCCGTTAAAAGGAGGCAGTTATGATAAACACATTCTGCCGGGCTAGTCTTGCTTATGCATGCTTTTTGCACTGTGGGTTTTTCAGAAGTATTTTTTTAAGGGGGAAATATGATAAGGCATCCCCAACATCCTGGTCTCCTGGCATCAGTCCAAAGTTTTATTTCTGATCATACAATGAAACAGTTAATAGTTCTGGAAATCTCACTATGCATATTAATAATTACTGGGTGTATTATTTTGGTGTGCTGACTGGGCTGCAGATCACTTCACTTCTTTAAGATTAATCAGACAAAATGCATTGCAAAAATGTTACTGCAATATAGACAGGTGGCATAAACCTCTCGGATTGCTAGCCCAGATACTGATACTATGTCATGAAACCTACTTGCTGAGATCATTTTATTAAAGTTGTCATAAAACATTCAAGGCAATTGTCATTGCACATGCAGACATTTCTTAGTCAATATCATGTGTCTTAGCATTTATTGGCTGAGCCCATCATCTGGAAGATATTGGGAGAGACTCAGGGTTGAGTAGGTAGTTTGGAAAGGCACAAGGGATAGGGGCATGGGACTGATCAGGGTGCTTAGGTAATACAATGCACACTAGTTCTTTAAAATGTGTTTGGCTATGCCTTTTTTATGCTCTATCTAACGTTTCAGGGTGAGGTAAGGGACTGAGGGAGATTTGGGGAATTGTAAATTATAGTTGGCCACAAAATGTCTTGTGTCTGTCCTAAAAGCTTTCAGATTAGGTCTACGGGAGTACAAGTAATAAATGTGCCTACCATATTTTTCAGAATGTAAGATACACCCATATATTGTGATGAGAAATTTTGAGGAAAACAATAACAAACCAGTTGAATGTCTTAACCCATTTAATAAATCTTATTTCCCTTTTCTCGTAAATCTAATCTCACTTTTATTCTCTTGCTGCCCCACCATTTTGTTCATTTCTGTCCCTTTAATTGCTCTTGCTGACCCCCATGTGGCTCTTGCTTTGCTGTGCCCACATTTTGACTCTTGCTGACCCCCTTCCCCCCCCAATCTGTGTCTCTCAACTCCTGTTGTAGTGTGACATTGCAGACTGCACTACAGTATCTTCCTCTTTTCTCTTTCTAATCTGACAGGAAGCTACTTGTTGCTCCAATTGAACAACTTCCTATGAGACCAGATCAAGAATTAAGAATATATATATATATATATATATATATTTTTTTTTTTTTAATTCTTTATTTTATTCGTGCATAGAATTAACAAGCACTGCCACGACAGCTGGTGCAAATATAAAAGAAGCATGCAGTAACAGTAATGTGGCATAAGGAACATTGCACATTTTTTATATAAACAAAATTAAGTCATTATGGTTGTTATGTGATTGTCAGATTACAGGCTATGCATGTCAACATCCAGTACAGGTTTTTAACTGCTTAATTAAATTCACTAACGAGTTTAGTGTAATAATGGTGAGAGTGGTTAGACATAAGCGAAATATCAAGTGGGATTGTAATAAGTATGTGTTATTAGGAACGGTGCTCATTGTATTAATGTGGAAGAACAGTAGCTTATCGGGATGTTTGAATAATGAAGGGTGGTCCAGACTGAGTTAGACTAACGTATTGGCTTGGGTTGTGCAGGAGCATACGATAGGTGCCTTAGAGTTAATGCTTGATGGGGCACGTTATGGTAAGGTAACCCGGGTGTAGACATAATAACAAATATCATAGCTTAAAGGACCACTATAGTGCCAGGAAAACATACTCATTTTCTTGGCACTATAGTGCCCTGAGGGTGCCCCCACCCTCAGGGACCCCCTCCCGCCTGGCTCTGGAAAGGGGAAAAGGGGTTAAACTTACCTTTTTCCAGCGCTGGGCGGAGAGCTCTCCTCCTCCGATCCTCCTCTTCTCCTCCCCGTCAGCTGAATGCGCACGTGTGGCAAGAGCTGCGCGCGCATTCAGCCGGTCACATAGGAAAGCATTCATAATGCTTTCCTATGGACGCTTGCATGCTCTCACTGTGAAAATCACAGTGAGAAGCACGCAAGCGCCTCTAGTGGCTGTCAATGAGACAGCCACTAGAGGAAATAAGGGAAGGCTTAACCCATTGATAAACTGCTATGTTTATGAAAAAATGGGTTAACCCTAGCTGGACCTGGCACCCAGACCACTTCATTAAGCTGAAGTGGTCTGGGTGCCTAGAGTGGTCCTTTAAACTGATAATGTAAATGCAGTAAGTACCATACTTAGAGTCTATCATGCCATGCTGATATCTATTTTAGATCAGGCTTATCTAATACAGGTCATGCGCATGGGCGTCCGCAGGGGGGGGCAAGGACTGGCACTTGCCCCCCCCTGGATTTTTCAACTTGTTCTGCTATTTTTCGTGTGAGATTTAGAATGAACTGCAATACCGCGCCGGCCAGTAGGTGGCGCTGTGTATGGAGAGAGACAAGGATAGGAAGCTGCATCTTATCCCTGCTTCTCTGCTGATTGAAACCGCAGGGGAGCAACACAGGCAGCCAGAGACAGCCTACAGATGAGGTAGGTGGGGGATGGGGGGAGGGTTTGAGATAGCCTATAGATTTTTTTGGGGGGGGGGCAGCAGCCTATAGATTTTGGGGAGGGCAGCAGCCTATAGATTTTTGGGGCAGCCTATAGATCTTATTTTGGGGGCAGCAGCCTGTAGATTTTTGGGGGCAGCAGCCTATAGATTTTGTGGGGGCAGCAGCCTATAGATTTTTTGGGGCAGCAGCCTATAGATTTGGGGCAGCAACCTATAGATTGGGGGCAGCAGCCTATCGATTTTTAAGGGGGGCATCAGCCTGATTTTTGGGGATTTCAGCAGCCTATAGGTTTTTTGGGGCAGCAGCCTATAGATTTGGGGGGGGGGGGGGCAGCAGCCTTAGATTTTAGGGGCAGCAGCCTATAGATTTTTTGGGGGCAGCAGCCTATAGATTTTGGGGGCAGCAGCCTATAGATTTTGGGGGCAGCAGCCTATAGATTTTGAGGGCAGTCTATAGATTTGTGGGGGAGGGGCAGTAGCCTAGATTTGGGGGAGGAGGGGCAGCAGCCTATAGATTTGGGGAGGGGGCAGCAGCAGCGTTAGGGGCAGCAGCCTATGGATTTGGGGCGGGGAAGTAGCCTATAGATTAGGGGAGTGAGGCATGGGGGGGCAGCAGCCTATAGATTAGGGGAGTGAGGCATGGGGGGGCAGCCATGCGGGTGATCATATCTAGCAGATCTGGGTTGCCAGGATAAAAGCAGCGTACTCTCATGGCTGCCAGGATACTGGGCATTTGAGTCAGTAAGGTACTAAAGGAAATCACTAATAACTTTGCTTATCTGCAAGAGAAAGAGTCCTCAGCAGTTCAGTTTTAGGCATGTCAGCCATGCAGGTAGAAGCAACAGGCGTCCCAATGAAGTGTAAAGCAGGTGTGGGACACATGCAGCCAGTCCACTCCCGACCCTCAACCCACGCCCGATTTCGAGGCCCGTCGTCCGGTGGCAAGGTTCCGTTCGGCGATACGGTGTATCCAGCCGTCTCGCGGGAAGCAGGATGTCATAGTGGCCGGGGGGAGTCTGCGTAAGGAGGTGTACAGCAGACCGCGGTACCGAGGTGCAGGCGGGTGGGCTGTATTTCCCGTTAAGCCTGGGGTGCTGCGCCATACCTCTGATCGACGCAGCACTCCAGTCCGAGGTTGCTGGTAGGGTGGCTTCTTAGCTGCCTTGTGTCTGAGTGATGCGCGGCGTCTGACCCTCCGGTGTGCTGCCCCCCTCAGAGCCGGCAGAGCTGGCGGTCTGCGATGCAAGGTTAGGCGGTGCTGCTGGTCCCATGTGCACCGTTGTTTTGCTGCGGCCATTTTGCAGCTGCCACGTGCCATGAAGGCCAGGCGCCATGTCTTGCAGCGTTTTGTTGCATTTGCTTTTCCAGTTTGTGCCAGAATGCTATAAAGACAGCGTCCAGCCGTGCTGCATAGTCAGAGCGGTCTGCTTGGCTGTCAGTAGGTTTTTCGGTGCTCTCTTCCTTAGGTATTCCCATAGCGGAGGTCCCAGGGGCGCTCCGAGTCTGCTGGGTTTCAAGCTGTGTTGCGGGGGTAATCGTCCCCAGCGAGGACCGGGATATCCCCCGCCGGTCCAGAGGGGGGGCAGCAGGGCTGTGGTGAGTGCTCTCATGTGTGCTTGTCCCGTGCCGGGAGATCGGCCGCCTCCCCCAGGCCCCAGGCCCCAGGCTCTGCTCTTGATTAGGCCGCATGGTCGGTGTCGGCTTTTCCGCTGTGTTCTGGTGCCGGACAGGTATCATTCTGTTCCTTGTATTCTCTAGTGTCAGTCTCCGGTCACCGTGTGCCGCTGGCCTTGTTAGTTCGGTCGATATTGGCATAATTGTGCCCTCTGTTACAGGAGCTCTCTGTGTGTTCAACCGGCCATCTTGGCTGTCAGGCCCCTCCCCCTAAGAATATATTTTACCATGGTTTATGACGCACGTTACACAAAGTGACTTGTGGTAGAGGGGAGCTTTGCGGCAGTCCTCCCATCTGTTACACCGTTCCTCCATACATTGTGTGACGGTCTGCCAAGGTATCACCGTCATGAATACCCCTTTTCCAAGTGAAACCGCAAATAATTCCCACAGTCAAAATATCACTGGCATAGAATAACCCCCCACACATGAGCCAAGGCTTAATGCTGGGTAAAGACTGATTTTAATGGTAAGTACATTAAAAGTACAGGCATCAAATTTATACAGTCCATAAACTCCTCCTCTGTGACTGAGAGATAATTGAGTCAGTAAATATACTAAACTCAATTATCTCCAAGTACAGAAAAATACACAATTTTGCAACAGCCCAAAATATAGGGAAACCCCACAAAAGTCACATCCCTGGATAGCTTGGATCTGGATGAACAATATATCCAAAAATCACCCAGATCCGTTTGGTAGTTTTAAATCGCCATCGCAGGGAAGTTCTGACCATTTCTGCCACGAGGAGTAAGCCCAAAGTAGTTCCATTAAATGGTGGCAAGATCCGCTCCTCGTTTGTGGGGTTTTGTATAAAAACCACATAAGGTAGAGGAAAACTGGTTTGTGTACATTGCTCCCAATGTTCGTTAGTCTGTAACTCCCGACTGCTGTTCGTATAGGTGAACTGGAAAGAGCCGTGGGTCCATGGTGACCGGTGTTTGTGGGAGTGCCTGGCCGAAATTAGTTCCAGGCACTCGATGACCAAGTCCCGCTGCAAGCGTTCGGGAGACAGGATGGCTGCCATCCATTGTTTCAGCCACGTGTGTTCGAATGTACGAAATGATGGCCACCCAGTGGAGCATTCTATTAATGATTTCCTTTGCGGTTTTTGTACAGATACATAATGTTCCATGTTCTAATTGGCTTCTAAGGTGGTCTCGGTTCGGAAACCGAACAAAATTAATTAGATGACTATAGATACGAACAAAATAAACAAAAGGAGCCGAAAATGATGGGGATATTCCTTCACACATTGCACTCATCACAAAACACACAAACAGCAACCAACACACATATTCAGAGACAGGCATACACAGGGACAGAAAGGTAGACAAAGGCAAGCACAAACAGACACCAACAGGTACACACCTAGATAGAGTCAGGCACACACAGACAGGCTACAGGCTCACACAAGCATACTAATCCACAGACACCTACACACAGACAGGCACATACCGACAAATGCACAGATAGGCACAGGCGCACACAGATACGGATAGGGTCATACAACCACACTAACACACAGGTACACATAAGCACACTAAGGCACAAACAGGCACACATAAGCAGATTGATACACACAGATTCACAATAACACTTAGAGACAGACAGGCACACACAGACAGGTGCTCACACAAATGTACAAAACAGGCACACACAGACAGGCTTACCCAAGCTCACTGAGACACAGATGGTTACACGGAGGCATGCAAACAGTTTGTACCCCATATTTTGGGGTACAGAACTATATCCTATATTCCAAAAAATGCGGTACTTGAGAAAGGTTAGATCAGGTTTTCAGTCCACCACTGGAATATATATTATGTGAGTGGGATAGGAAGCTGTATGGTTAGGCAGGGGCATTGCTAGGGTCAAAAACCCTAATCCTTGAGCCCAGGCACAGACACACACACAGGTGTATGCAAGCACACTAAGACACAGATTGGTACACTCAAACACAGGCATGTGGGGGTAAAGATAGAGTACTACTTGTATTCTTAACTATAATGTTCTCCCCACTATTTAGATTTTGCCACCCCTGCAAGAATTAAAAAAAGAGAATTACTTATCTTATATTTAGGGGCACTGGTCTTTCGACTGCCGCCTGACCTACTCGGATGAGATCATCAGTGTTGATGATCTCAGCCAATCCATTGCTTTAATATAGGGAAGCATTAGAAGGCTATTGAGCATGCATGGCAAATCGCCATATTGTGCCAAGTGTCAAGAATGTGTTAACCCTGTAATGAAAACAATGTTTTGACAAAATCAAGTATTACACCAAATATCAGGTATAGGCAAAGCCAGTGATCTTATCGTCTAGTGTCAGTCTGTCAACACCAGAGCATGCGTGTGCATTGATGCAAAAATCCTAAGGAGATAAGGGGCATAGTGGTGGACTTAGTAAATGATATAAATCAGGAGCACCCTGTGGCATTATGGCGTCAACCACTTTCCTTTGGACATCCCACAAAACTGATCGGTATTGTAACAGGAACTTACCCAGCCATTATGGCAGGATTCCACATACACTTTCATTGTTCCTTCATACATATATGGGAGATTGATGAATTGCTGTGTTGCTCACACCCATAGCACCAGCATTGGATGTGGTGTACACCCACAAACCTGCTTTACTGACTGTGAGCAGGCCTTACGGTCTCAGATAATCAGCCCCGACACAGTGTCACCAGAGCTCTTTTTGACTACGACACCATTAAAATTTTTTAAATATACCAACATTAAAAGTCATTTCTCATCTCATAAACATATTTACTATTTTTGTTTTACTCTGGTTTTGCATTCAGGAGAATTATTTAAATTTTTTTGTAAACCTTGATATACAGGCAATGTAAACAGGAGCGACACGTGGTGTGGACTCTTCAAATCTTGGCATGACATTATGTTTTTTTTCCATCGCAGGCTGAGAAGGGTAACTATAATTAGCTTGCTAAAAAGGCAAAAAAAGAAAGCAACCATTACTTCCCTGACAGAGGAAGGCACGAGACCAAGGACCATGAAACAGAGAGGAAGTTCAGATGCTGGATGACCATCTAAAAGTTGAATGGTAAGTTATCATTTTTGTTTGAAATTTGCTATCAGATTATATATTTAATATATAAATATTATATATAAATAGTCTGCTATTTACAGCAGAAATGTCAAGGTGAACAAACATGTTCAGGGTTATTCTCTAAACTAAAAATTCTAAATTAATTCAAAGTAAATTTCAAATTTGCCGAAAGTAGCCAAACCAAAAACAAACTTAGAGAATTTTACCAGTTCATCTACTTTTAACCTAAAATGTTAAATTTTAAATTCACTTTAGTAAATAACCCTCTTCGAGTCTCTTTATAATATCTAATGTAATGCGATTTTGATAATGTTTCGCATGTGAGTTATTTCAAATCTAAAAATAATATTAGAATCATGTGATACTTTCAGAGTTTTTTTTAAAGTAATCCATTGAGTAAGTAATCCATCTGGTTTAGGAACTTCTCCCAACTAAATGCAGGGTTTTGGTTTTGTTTTTTTCAATAAACAGGGAAGTGCAGAGAATTTTTAAAGCAATAGTAAGTTTTAGGCCAAAATAACCACACTATTTTAAAAGTTTTTTTTTTTAAATTTAATTTATTTAAAATTCCATTATTAATTCTTCACAATAACCGGTTTAGTCGATAAGCCTTATGGTATGTGTGGCCAATGACAAATGTTTGATAGAAATGTACATCTCTGAGTCTGATTCACGCAGAACAGAGAAAAAACATTAAAACCGAGTTTATTTTTATATAAACCAAGCATTGTATTAATTTCAATAAAATATCATTTAAAAAAAAATGTTTTTCTTTAAATGATGCAGATCGCAGTGCTAAAAATATGATATACCATATATTACATTCAATAAAACAAGACTGAATACGTAATACAGATTTGTGATACTAATGGTGTGATTAGCAGAATAAAATTAAATGCAGATCACATTGATATTTATGTTTTCTTTGAATACTTCTAATACTTGTGTTTTTTTTTGTCCCTGATTTTTTTTAACATTTATTAACTATTAAGTTCTTTCCTTATTATATTTGGGAAATATTTCCTCCAGTTTTGAAGCAGCTACACAAGTATAAATAGTATCTCCAATGTGACAGCTGTCTCTCTCTGTTATTGATTGTCCTTCTTCAAACAAACCCATCTGTCCGAGTCCATTCTTCATGTTTAGGGATCGGTTGTTTAAAGTTTTTCATTGTAGTTTTTCAGAATGATTTAACAAAACGTGATGTTTTGCTTCGGTTCCCAAGGATTGATTAGGGATTCTCCATTTTCCTTTTTCCTGTAGATTGATCTGTTTAACTCTGAGTACGATCCTGTATATTTCTATGAGTTCATGCTAGGTGATTCCTTATCACCTAATAAAATGGTGAGTTATTTTCATGCCCTAGAATGTTCCTTATGCTTGACCTCAAATAACTTTTTTTGTGATGGCATTAAAAGTGTGCTGTGTTCACAGGCTCAATATGATCTATATGTTTATTTTCTTAGCAGATTTCTGACTGACGGACACATTTATCATATTGACCCAGACAT